CATTCAGGTATTAATGGATCCATTACCAACTTGATTTGAGGGGTTGAGAGGTCACAGACTTAGTATAAAGAAGCAGAGACTAGGTTCTTCAGAATTCTGTGGTTAAGTGTATTTATGTAACAGCATTGGGTTTTAAAAACATTTTCCCAGGCACTCCTTAAAAAAAACCAAAAGGCAAGCAGGAATACGGCAAAGTATTTGGTTTTATACAGAATGAATGCACAGCTGTTGTCCTCTAACTATCCATGTAAGATCTCAGGACAACAGTAAGGTAAATGGGACAAATCTTTAGATATGTTTGTGTTAAAGTAGTAGCTTGGTATTATAAAGAAAACGTCAACTTTTGTCTCACAGCTAGGAAGGCATTATTTCAAGCTGTACATGCATCCTTAGTAAACAAACAGGAATTTCTCTACAGTTTATCAAAGGTATAAGCAGTTGAAGTTTACTGGGAAAAAAAAAGGCAACCAAACCAGCATAACATTAACTAGATGTTTGTGTGTATTTATCATGCCTCTACTAAATAATAGATTATTTTAGCATAATTGTGAACTCACTCGAGTACCATCAAGGCAGTAACTCCTGTAGTTATTGTTGTATAGCTAGAGGAGATTGTACATTTTAATATTTGTTTTATTTATTGCTAGCCTGAAGAATTAGTTTATCAGGATGCAGACAAGGCTGCTGCAGTGGAACTACAGGGCAGGTAATTCTACCTCCAAAGCAAATGCTGTCACTACTGATCACTAGAGCATATTCATACCTAGGTTCTAAAAACCTGCTTGGAATGCTAAGAATTGAGAACAGCCTAAAAAAAAAAAAAATGGAAGCTGTAGTTCACAGGGCTTTTTTTTCATTTTCTCTTTAATAGAGATTGCCAGATACAACTGATCAATTACTGCTGTACTGTTCCCTAATAAGCAAAATGCTGTAGAGGTTGTAAACTAAAAAGGGTTGTAAGCCCCTAGCCTCCCATTCTGTTACTGAACATGCACAGCACCATACAGTTATGTTGGCATTGCTTTTCTGTGCTTTTAGGTAGCAGTAAATTTAACTGAGGTAATTTGCATTCCCCATAATCTGTACTAACTGTGATCAGCTCAGATGTCCAGTAAACACTAGAATTGTAATAATTAGTCTATTTTATTGCAGGATTGAAAAAATATTAAAAGAGAAGATTATGGAATGGAGACCACGGCACCTAACTCGTTGGAACAGATACTGTACCTCTACCCTGCGTAACTTTTTGCCACTGCTAGAACAAAACCAAGGCAAAGACATAGAAGACGACCATCAGGCAGAGCTGCAAAAACAGCTAGGAGATTACAGGGTACAGTTGTGAATATATATGACTTGTGCACAGAAGTAGGAATCTAAATCCCTAGGATTTATTATCACTCCTCTGTGGTACAGAAGAATGTCCTAGGCTATTCATTTCTTCTACTACCAAAAATCAGAGACATTTTTATACAAAAGATAAACCAATGTAGTATTTACAGAGTGAAGGAGTGATAATCTATTTTATTTCATTTGTAGATGTTGAAGATGAAAACTTTCTGTTGAACATAAAGATAAGAATGTAAAGATAAATTGGCTGCACTGTTCTTGGATTATTGCTGTACTGCAACAGTCACTACCTCTGACACAAACACAAGTGCAGTCTCCTAGCACTGGATGCTTATGGGTTGATTGGTGCATTAGCTCTCAAGTCTGGTCAGCAAGAACCTGGCACTAGTGCCAAGTAGCACTACACTCAGTCTACTTACAGGTGCAGAAGTCCACACGACAACATGCTTTACTTCAGTTTTCTACTCATTGCTCTGCTCTTTAAAAAGACAGAAGAAAATGCACTTAAGAATTCACTGCAGCCACAGTTCTACCCATGCATTCTTCCTCCAGGCTGTTCTAAAGGTTAGGTCCTTCTGGTCTTCATGTAAAACACCTGGTGACAATACTGTACACAACTCTGGCAATTTTCAAAATCAGCTGAGGTTTCAGTTCCTGTTGGACCTGAAATGTATTATGGGCAGGAGACACTTGCCACCTCAAAGCCCCAGCCAGTGCAGACAAGACAACACAATGAATTAAAACCAGTTAAGAGGCAGAAGCAGCTATTATGCTGTATGTGTTCATTAATGTAACTTTATTCTAGTGGACTTCTAAACATCTTCACTTCAAACTTAACCCAGACTAAAGGGGAAAAATGTCAGAAGCTTGCCTGATGTATATGAAATAGGGAGGTGGTATTAAAGTACAAAATAGGCTTTTTTTATTGCATCTTCTGAGGCCACCAACAGAAAAGATAAGATTTACATGCACAGTAAAACAGATTTTTAAAACTATGTATTTATTCAGGTGCCTTTACCTTTTCTTCTTACCTTTGTGTTTTTTTCCTCCTCCCAGGTCTCTGGATTTCCTATTCACATGCCATTTTCTGAAGTCAGACCTTTAATAGAAGCTGTACACAGCACGGGAGTTCATACCATTGATGTTTCCAATGTTGAATTTGCTCTAGCTGTGTATATTCATGCTTATCCCCAAAATGTTCTCTCTGTATGGATTTATGTTGCTTCACTTGTTCGAAACAGGTAGTATAGACCAGTCAGAATACCTCAAGAAATTTGCTTATGTAGGGCTAAAAATAACAGATTTCTCACACTGTTGATTTGAGCTATCCCAAGTATTTTGAAAATCAAATGAGAGCCTGATTGTTAGTAGCTACAAACATGTGAGCTTTATTCACCCTACAACCACTGAAGACACTACTTATTACTGCTAAGGAAGAGACTGACAGCTTAAAACTCCAGTACTGATAGGTGATTTTTATACAGTATTTTACAGCTCCCAGTGGGACATGACACTCTTAAAAGCATAACACATGCCCACATATAGTGACATTGCAGAGTAAAATGGTAGTTTAAGCCACCTTCTTTTCAGGTGAAACTTGAGTTCCTGGAATCATGCCTTGAAGACTCTGTTTTTAGCTAGTCAGTTTATTTTATCTACAGATCTCTTCAAAGACAGTGGCAAATACAAATAGTTAAGAGTTTTCCAGTACCTGAGTTCCTGAATGAAGATCAGGATTTACTCATGAATAAATTTCATACACCAAAGAGCCAGTGAAGGCCATACTTCAATTTTTAAGAAGCTGCATCATCTGCTACTTCATACTTAGTGTCTGTATAATGCCAGCACCATTTAGAGGTATAAGACAACATTTTCTTCAGAATTTAAAGTATTTAGTAAATATTTATACCAAAACATAACTGGAAGATCATTCATTTTATACAAGAATTTGATTAAATTACTTTGGAGTATGAAATCTTTATCTGCAAGTTACCCTAGTAGAAGATTATCAAAAGAATAGTTTAGTAAAAATCAGATTCGCTTATTAGTATGTTAAGTAGTGGTGTTAACTGTTAATACTGATACAAATATATATCCTTCTCCTGCAGTTGCCTTGCTCATCAGACCGTTCCAAGTGAAAATGATGGTGGGTTGAGCTTAGGAAGAATGTTCATCAGAACATATCAAAGTTAAGATTGTTCTTGAGCTTAACCCCAAACTAGATTCAGTCTACCTAATAAATACTAGACACAAAATCTTTGGTTTAGAGCCTGGGGTTGCTGCCACAGGTTCCCCTCTATAAACCTCCAGCAGAAAGGAGTAGCTACACTGTCATCACATGATGCTTTGCTGAACAACATTGATGACATCTTGCAAGTTTAGTCCAACTCCCCTTCAGAGAAGGCTGAAGAAGAAACATGGTGTAAGTGAACAGAATCTTCTGCAGCTGATGCAGGCCTCAGCTGTGTTCCTGCCAATCTCCACAGAAAAGACCACCTAGCAGCAAGGAGAAGGACCTCTAGCTGCACCTTCCCAGCCTCAGAAACAGAGTTCTGCAACAAGGACAGATGCAAGAAAGCCCACCATGTACCTTGTTACTATTATCATCTTACCTCAGTCAGCATTGCACAAATGGCCATATATCCACTCTAACTCTTGGGCACCAAAGTAAATTTAATGTAACTGACTTGAAGAAACAGCTTCTGGAATAATGGTAGCCTTTTATACCTCTTCTGTAGGCTTCTAACTGAGCACTGTACGTTCTGCTTCTAGCCCATGTTCAGCTGTTAGCCATGAACAGCCAACACTGCAGCAACTCTACATTCACTAATATTTTTCTTACCTTACTACTCTTCAGTATTAGTGGGAGCAAGATGGTATCAAAACTTGCAGTTTATTGTAATCTCCATGTACGCCTGCAAACTGACCTCCCAGACACCAAGAATCTTGAAAGCTACATATGTCACCATGACTGCTGTCCTAAATAAATACTACTCAAAAGAATTTATCCAATTAGTAAAACAGGTAAAAATTACTAGTTTGACATATTGTCAGCCTTCAAAATTTGGCAGGATGGGGGGGGGGGGGGGAACCTGTCTGCCTTCTACAAAGGCTGTGACATACCCCTCCTCTGCCCAAGAGAAAAACAACCTGCAACTATGCCACTCATGAGCAGGTGGCCATTAAAGTTTGCAGCTTAACATGGGCTACAATACTTCTCTTGCAATGGGCTCTTCCCCATACTGCCCACACACACACTCATGCAGTACTCACCCACTACTCATCTCTCTTCCTAGCACAGGTTTCACTCAGCCCAACAATGGATTCTCTGCCTCCCTGCTAGTCTCTACTGTTCATTGAGGGCTCTTTTTAGAAATCAAAGCAACAGGGAAAATGTAGTGTTGTCTTCCACACATTTCACATTAATGAAAACAGACTTCCTTGGAAGCCATTTCAAAATGCATCTTAACACAGTCATGGGAAGGAAAAAAACAAACAAACAAATCAAAACACCCAAAACAAAACACCCCCACACACTGCAAGGTTCACAGCTCTGCAACCACAACACCCATCCACCCAATCTCTGCAGCCTACTGGCATGGTATGGCTGGGTATTACACCTTAAAAGCATATATATTCAACTAGTACATACATTTATTGGTGGGAATGTTTTATTTGAGTATGTCTTTTAAGCCCAAATACAAAACCAAATGCAAAAGGAAGGTGTGAATTTTCCTAATTTTGCAATATAAAGAATGACTTAAGGATGAGAGGAAAGGGGAAGAAACAAGGCTCCTAAAGATGTATAATTGTTACCCAAATGCAAACAATACGTTTCAAATTCTCTGCAGAGCTTTATATTGTACTTACGGATTCAAAATAAAAAAAAAACATTCACTTACTTAACACAAAATAATCCAGTAAAGTATATTTAAGTGCCAAACTTGGAAGAAAGTGGCATTAAAAAAATTGAATGTTTTCCCATCTTCCCCAAATTAAGTAAAACAAAACCCAACACCCTTCAAACCAAATGAGATTGTGAGATTGTTACAACACTGTACAGTACACTCATAATTAAGATTCTGAAGTTGTGGGCAGGGTCAGGCTAGTATAACAAATCTCACTCCAAGGATTGTTAACACAAGATGCAAACTGTAAGTAAAGTGCATGAAAGGAAGCCTGCTGAGCTAAATGAAGTAGACTGAAAGATCAGAAGTCAGCGGTCATTCGCCAGAGCGGCAGCAGGCCCGAAAACCACACTGCAAATTCTGGCATCCACTGGCGGTTTCAGCATGAGGACCTGCACAAAAACAGAACAAATGTGAAAAGAAGAAAAGGCCATTTACTTAGATTCAGAATTCTCATAACCTGGTAGTTCATAAAACTTTGGGGTTTTTTAATACACTAAAGTGCTTTCAGCACTGTGAAGTCTGAAACACTGCCAGTACTATCACAGTATAAAAACCTCAATTGGAACAGTTATTTTTCAAGATATTTTTGCTCCGATAGCTTAGTCCCTTGAAGATAACAAATTCAAAATGACACCGATGTATGATGAGCAACACTAAATAAGCAAGTTTAAGCAAGCTCTCACAGGTAGCTTTCAGAATTGAGGTATATTTTCATAATGCATATTTAACTCCCATTTTTCAAATTCAGTTGATGACTTCATGGCATTACCAAAGAAATCATAATGTCCGAAACTACTTCTACCATAATGGAAACAGTTTTTTAGTCTGGAAGGTTTTTTCTCTGTGACACTTCATGGTTGGCTAGACCTCACATATGCTGACTGGAAATTGAAAAACTAAAGAGAAAATCACCTTTAGTATCACTGCAGTTATCAGAAGCCATAAGGCTAAAAACTAGCCATTCCAAAAGAGAAAGGTCTGAGCACAGAGACTACAAACCAACACTAATTCAACCCACCTCCACTTACCTTTGCTTACTGTTATCCCTTTAATTTGAAATGTTAAATGATCATGAGATAAGAAACTATCAGATTTATTAGTACAGGATCTTATTTCCTATAGCCATATGCCTTCTTTAGAGACATAAACATTTACATACAAGTTGGCTGAACTCTGGCACCCAACGTAAATTGGAAGTGAGTTGCTAAGTTAACTAAAACAAGCTGGTAAAGACCTAACCAGGACAACCCAAATTTCCCCCCTTTGTATTTGATACAAATCAAAGAGTAATTAAGGTGGTTTTAATACATTTAGAAAAGACTAGCAAAATCATTTAATGAACTAGGGCACCGTGCTATGTCTGGCTTGTTTTTTCCCCTTGAACAGTACTTTAAAGTCATAATTCAATTAATTTCCAAGAACCTGGTGTCTGGAAATCAGCTTTCTGCTTCATGCCACACACCCGTGCGGAATATTCTACAAGGTAATTAAGTTAACATGCATGAGACTGAATAAAACAAACCTGAAGCTATAATAAAGGACAATGGTTACAGTATGCAAAATAGTAAACTTTTCAGTTGTCAATAAACTCATTTTCCTTTTTAAATCTTTTTATTCACCTGAACTAAATTTTGATCTTCCAAGTCACTTACGAGCTAGAGTTTGAAAGCTTCTTCATAAGTCCTTTAAAAAGGAGACTCGGTGCTTCTGAATAGCTGGTTAAGCAGAGCATGTTCTGTGCAGCAGCTTTTTCCAAGTCGTAGCTGACCTTCCTCATCATTGCCACAGCTAAGCAGCACATCAGTAATTTTGAAGCAACTGTCACATTTCTAGTAAAATGCTTGTTGACAAAATGTATAGAGCCCCAACATCCCAAGGAAGGAAATACTCAGTATACTTCAATATTGTTTTCCATCTTTTTCTTGCTCGTTTTAAGAATGTTCTTCCTTATGCTCATAAATGGAACATAAACGCTGCCCTTCTAGGTCTGACCAATGGTCTATCTAACACTACCTTCATCACTGGCAACAGCAAGTGTTATCTAGGGAGACAATATAAGCCTATTCTGCATATCTTTTATGTTTAACCTCTTTTTAAACCTGCTGATACTGCTTCCGCAATTCCCCACAGGACAAAGTTCACTACATTGTGCATCTGCTTTGAATCAATTGCCTACCCTCTTCATCTACTGTTGCTGAGCTCTAATACTGCAGAATTTGGAGAGTTACTGCTGCACATTCACCTCATCTACTGCTTTCCCAGTTCTGTTAAGTCATCCTCCTTTCATCCTTCTCATTCCCAGATTGAATCATTCCAGCCTTTTGAGTGCCTCCTTGCAAGACAGCTGCTCAGTTCCCTAATTCTTTTTAGGAGACCTCTTCTGTGTCTTCTGTAACTCCACTACATACACTCCTCAAGACGGGGAGACCAAAACCACAGGCATTGCTCCACATGTGAGTGCCCCAAGGCTTCCAGGACCGTGCAGCAACACCCTCTATCTTGTTCTCAACACCCTGATGATGCATAACACTGGTGGCTTTTTTGGCTGCTGCTGCAAACAGGAAAGATCTCAGAATTAGCACTGACACCTCTCTGAAATCATTGTCTCCATGTTGCAACTGCCAGCTCTGAATTCAGTTTCATGCAATAACAGTTTGATTATACCCAACCACACAGACATATAACCATACATACAGCTATACTGAAGCTCGTAAGAAGTCCTTCTGGAAATCTTCAGCACCAGTATCGTTGCTTGAGGCTGCTCAGTACCACTCAAGAACTTAGAAATTACTGTGTGCATTTCTTAGACCACAAGAGCAATGGAAACACTGAATAAGACTGATCACAGCACAGAACTCTTGCGGGCGGAATGGGGAGGGAGATGTCACCTTCCAGATTCCTGTCCATCCTGAACAGTGACCATTAAGCCCAGCCCTTTCTTCCTATCCTTTAATTAGCTTTCAGTTTTAAATTTAAACCAGTCTTATAGCAACTTAGACGCTACAGCAAAAACTTCTAAGTAAACTGCATCATCTGAAAAGCTTATAGATTCATTTCCTAATTTATTAGGCACTGAATTACAAATTACATTAACCACATCACAGTGAAAATTCACCCTTCTTCCTATGCTGCATTTCTTGTCCCATGTCTAGTCCTCATACCATCACTAACTTTCCTTTATAGCCTCTGATAAAGAACTCTGATGAAATTAAATACTCGGGGTTCAAACCACATCTCCTGAAATCTGCCACCCTGTATTCTTTCTTAGCATATACAGGCAATTCCCGTGATTTGGAGGGTATTTTATGCTCTTACTGCAACAGGGTAGGAAGTGTCATTAATGGTCGTTTTAACAGTAAGGCTATTCAATGATACTCATTTCATTTATGTTTTGACATGTCAATTGCTGTCCTCCATCACAGGTCATTTATCTCCTCTATAAATTCCCTAGCCCTCCTTTGCTTGTTCTTTTTACATTTGATACAGATAGCAAAATTCAAATGCCTTTGCCTTTGATAGCCACAGAGACTGTTTTTGTTTCCCTAGCTTTATTTACTAAAACTGACTTTTGGCTACATCTCTTTGGCTTCCTAATCTCTGATTTCCCTAGTCTTTGCTACTGACCTCAGTTTGAAAACAAAGTCCCATCCAAATATCTCTGCTTAAGTTCAAATGGCCTCTTTAATCTTGCCAAAAAACACTCTCTCCTGTTTCCTTTGGACCCTATATACAAGGTCTCCAATTCATCTCACCTCACTGATGCACCAGGTTAAGCAACACGGTAACTGTATACAGTTCCTTTTGTACTGCCCAGTGAGCAAGATGGTCATTTCAGATCTTACAGTGGGGCTGAACCACTTTCAGAAGGGTGCCTCTCTTTCTACTGACTGTGAAGACTTAAGAGCTAGCAGCAAAGTGCCTAAATTAAACATGTTTTGGGCTGGTTCATCTGGGAGGGCAAAGTTAATCAGATTCTCATCCAACCTGCCACAGTCTACATTACTGGTTCAGTTACCTCTAAACTGGATTGTTGTAATGGTCTCTACATTCACATCTGATTACTCTCAGAAGCTTCAGGTGACCCAGAACAGAGGTCTGTTTACTCATGATGAACAGCTCTGTGTTTTCAAATAAAGTACATATAAACACATCTTGCAACATGAGAAAGAAGCACAGCTATTTGGTTCCACTAGTACATGTAACAAAATGGAGTAACAAAAGCTAGCCAAAGTTTCCTAGAAGTTAGGCATTTCACCAAGAATACACAACAACCCAGACCAAGACCACAGTGAAAGAACCACTCCAACCAGGACAACTGGCTGCCACCACCACCCCTCTTTAGCCACTTGTTCTAGCTCTCGCCTGTGCGGCAGAAACAGTCATGTGGTCTACAGGAAGATGGATCCCTGACCCACCTAGGAAGAAAAGGGGAAGGGAAAAAAAAAAGGAAAAAAAAAGAAAAAAAAAAGGAGGGTGCTTTCAGCTCCCCAAGTTCTTGATTGAGTTTACCAAGCAGCTACAGAAAGACTAGTGCTGGCCGCCAGACGGCAGTAAGAATGAGCTGGGAGGATGACAAAGGAGAGAAGGAAAGAGTTCTTTTTCACAGCCACCACCAGTGAGAGGCTCCATCATCAACGCTGCATACCGTATTTGATGGTAATATAGCAAAAGTAATACATTACAAGAGAATTACCAAAAAAGTGATCAAATTAAGCATTAGCTTTAAAAAAATATATAAAGGCAATATTCAATTCAAATCTGAGTTTACCAAGTGCTACTCTCTATCAGCCTTTTGTGAAGTTACACTTAGAGACCTTTATGAAAGCACCTTGGTTATCTGTAGAACTTAGACTTCAAGAGTTTGGTCTCCTAACAACAATGCATCCCCATATAAATCTGCACACAGGAGTCCATAAAGCCTAACAAATTGCAAAGTCTTGGCTCCATTGCTGGAAGACGGATCAAACTATGACCAATGAACTTCTAAATGCCAGAAGAACAGAGTGAATCATCAGAATCACCACAACTTTATTTCATTAACACCCTATTTCTTTAATTACAGCACCTGAGGACTACATCATTAAAAAAAACTCTAGAAACTGAATCATACTTAAAAGCTGCAAAGAGCTACTACTGCAGAAATTAGGGAGCCCCATTTTTCTAATCCTGAAGCTGATAGCACTCCAGGCTTTAAAACTGAGAATACAGTAAGGAGATGGAACACAGCTGGACAATACAGCCTATGGGGGAATATAAAATTCTAAGTGGCAAGAGGTAATTCAAACATTAAACTATTCTTACTGAGTCCAGTGTGATCTACAACCAAATGTGTTTTAGACATTAAAAAAAAAATCAGCAATTAGAAGTGGTATATACTGACGGATTTGTTTTCAGCTGCAGCTAAGCGTTATCTAACTCCAAGTCTCCAGTGTTGAGCAAAACACAGGCATAGATCCTAAACATTAGTATGCAAATCAAGAATTGAAGTCATACTAACAGTAAACAGAAAATAAATTTGGAAGTGTGTGCAAATTCATGGTCTCTGCTCATAAAAACTGCAGTATATTACTGCAGTGCAACAGTATTCTGTGACTGAGACCCAACTGAGTCTGTCTAACCACAGCTGCTCTACCTTTTTAGTTTTAGTCTACTAAAAAGGTAGAGTAGCTATGGTTAGACCAGCACTTGCAATGAAAATCTGAAAACTGCAAACAAACATGCCTACTAAACAAGTCCAGCAAGCCCTCCACAAAGAAAATCCAGTGAAGCTCTGTATAAGCACCCCCATTAGGCTCAGTGTTTACAGGAAAAACAATCTGAAAATAGGCTGTAGGTGAAAGTAAAGCCCTTATTTATCAACAGATGACAAAATGGTATCTTTATTATTCAAAGATGGCTAAATTCCATGCTGTTAGCTCCATTTTTTGTTCTGCAAGACTGATGTGTTTTCCAACATGATCCCAGAACATATCTCCTTCCCCGAAAATAATCCCTGATAAGCTGGTGGGCAAAGAAAATTATGAAATTATTCTCTACATGCTTACAGATCAGTAATCTTTGTGCAGCAGTTAATTATACAATCTATATATGTGCAAACATAAACAGCTTCAGATATGGATTGATTTAAATGAAACAGCTATTGCTTTCCCTACAGTTACTTTAGAAATACCAAATGATACAGAAATCGTTCAAGCTGTCACAGAAATCCTGCTGCTCACAGAGTGGACTAAGGTATTAGTTTCACACTGAATAGCCCTATCGCAATGAAGTTTGAGTGAAAATACAAAGAACAGTACCCAGATAAAACTACGGGAGATTCAGTTATAAAAGGTTATTTCCTATTTCAAAATTTGGCTCAGAACACCCCTTTGAAGTTTTTATCGACTTCCTTCTTAAAGAAAACAGCCACAAACTTCTGAGATGCTACTATTTCTCAATAGATGTCAGAAGTCAGACCATTACAGCCTTATTCTCCTGTTGATTTCTTTCTACAGGAGTAACTGTTCATACAAAGGCATGCGTGATACTTTACAGAACCAAGCAGAGCTTATAGGCTCACAGCTTCCAGCAGGCAGTAAAAGGAAGGAAATAAACAGGAAGAGGATCAGGACAACTTTACAGAGTAATTCCAAAAAAGTATTCTGTTTAAATATAAATAATTTCTTGAGGATATTATGGAACAGCCAAGCTTTAAAGTGGTACACTCACAGAAGAGATTCTGGCTTTGTAAACTAATACTAAGACAACATAGTGTATTTTAGGGACACAAAGATAAACAGAAATGTCTGAAGACAAACAGAACATCAAGTCTGGTATTACTGACAGAAGTGAAGACAGAGGAAAAATAGTACGGAATCAGATGTAAAAGAAAAAGGCTTTTAACTGGTCTTTGAAAATATCTTTAAACTCAACACAATGCAGGAAGGAGAGTCAGTGAAGGATTTTAAAAAAGGAATCTTAAGGTTCCCAGGTTGAAATGCTAGAAGATTTTTAAAAGCTGTAGTCTGGATGGAATGGAAGGAAGTAACAAAAAGCAAGTCTCTCGAAAAAAAAACCAGCAGTGTCAAAAAAGTGCATAACGTAGTGCAAAAATTATGGAAGCAAAATATGATTTAATACTTTCACTTCTAATATTAGGATCCAATCCAAGTGCATCATCTTATATCAATTTCAATGGACTGAATACCCAAACGTCAGTACAGATTTACTTGTAGTACCAAAGCTCTGGCATCCTGTACCCCTGCTGTGGCTATATCTCAATATAGATGCAAATTATTGAGCTGAATACCATGAACTCCAGGGAATATGATTTTGTTTTACACGCAATTAGCTCTTATAATCCTGTGAACTCAGTTATTTTCCTCCTTTTCCGTCCCCTTCTGTTGCACTTACCTGTTTTAAATTCACACATAGAATACAAGTCACACCATGGTTCCCATCTCTAATGCTATGAATGCTTACTGGACCTAACATAATAGACTGAATTCCAGTGTGGTGAACACTGAAAAGACTTACACCATAAACGTATTTTATGCATTTATCCAGATCCTTCTCCAGCTTAGATCCATCCCTAAGTTACTGACTGAAGCAAAACCAGAAAAACTAAATTACATTTTCCATAAGGACACATGATGGTAGGATCAAAAATATCCTATACCAAAACTACTGCAATATGGGAGGTTTGCATGGCAAAACACAAGCCATTCCTTTCCTAAAATTCAGCACTTTGGTACCAATCTAATGAGGCCTCTGTCTGAAGTTACGACCATAAAGAAAACGTACAATTACATGGTTTACAGGGAAGATACGGAGAGGGCAAGTGTGTATTAGCTATATGGACACTTACTTTCTAGCCCCTATTACTTAGGCTAAACTAAATTATGAGATACATGGACTAAAAATGCTTTCTTAGGTAATACAGAACTGTACTAGTGTCAAGCAAAAAAACCCAAAAGAACAAATGAGGAAAAACTCACTTAACAGTTGTCATTTCATAATTAATCTGTGAAAATTAGTGCTACACAGCTAAAAAAAAAAATAGGGGTTTGGTGGTTCTTTTTGTTTTGCTTTAAAAAGTGTCCTTAAAGCAAACGTTGCTCCCCAGAAAAGCATCACGTCTTCATAAAAAGACATTACCGTTAATGTTGTCACAGTAGTAAAAGTGTTCGTCATTTAGAGAAGGGCATGCAGAAACTAAATCCTGCAGGCCTGCACCAGTTACAGTGAGACAACCCGAGAGATTAAGGTGTTCCAAATGCGGCAGTCCTCCTCCCAAAGTCAATGCCCTGTTAACAGACAGAAGAGAGGTGTTAAGAGCCCACACAGTGTAGACTGACAAGTACTCCACTATGTTGCCAAGTCACAGACTTAACTGCATCTCATAACAAAAAAACACACCTCTAATAAACCATGTAGTTTTAAATCTGGCAGTTCCGTGCCCTATAAAGGGAGTCACCCCTGAAGCTGCATAACAGATCTGTAAAATGAACTGAAACTAACAATTCCTTCTGACAGACTTAAATGGTAAATCACTTTGTTTATGAATGACTCCAGAGATGACCAAGTATTTCAAAGAACTACCAAGACATTCTTCTCCAAAACACCACTGATTCTGGCAACTCCTCCAAGGTGATGTATATTCCTCAACTCACCCTGAAAACATGACATTCCCAAGTCTGGTGTATTACGCTTCCAGAAGTTTGACTGTCTTGTATTTTTTTGTTGTTGTTAAAATTATTTTGGAGTCCAAATTTGTATTTTCCTAGGACTGACAGCAGAGCCTCCCTGTGCCAACACACCATCTTGTTATTCAATTGGATTCTCTGTTTTTCCTCTGAGTGCACAAGTTTGCTGAAGCAACAGCCTCATGCATGTATCACACCTGAGCAATCACTCCACGTTAGTCTGCTTGCTTCTCTGTGAGCTCACAGGGCAATCACAAACATCACATTCTTCTCTGAGAAACATCACATTGCCTTCTCTGCGAGCTCACATTCAATCACAAACAAGCTCACCCCCCCTGAAAAAAACCACCAGGTTTGAATCACCAAGCTGCAGATTCAAGCCAGGACATAAAACTGAAAATGCCTTCAGAGCATCACTACCACTTTCTCCTGTCAGCAGGCAGAAGTAGAACTGTTGACCACAAAACCAGCTAACAACCTTTCAATGAAATGAACTGGCAAGTGTTTCTGTTAGGTTTCACTTGCTTTCCTCAGGGCCTCAAACTATTCTGGTGAGTTCAAGAAGCACTTGTTGCAGCACACTCTCAGCTCTTAAATACTGTCTTATCCAAAAAGCACCAGTGGGAAACCGGCACCACAACTAAACCCTTCCCATGACTCAGTGACCAAAACTCCCTTTGGTCCTAGATTACTGAGTCATGGAAAAAAAAGAAAAAAGAAAAAAGAAAAAAAAAAAAAAGACCAGTAACATGCAAACTACACACAGCATGACCTAATCAGCACCTAAAGGAAAACTCAGCAGTACCAGTCCCCTCTAACACTTGAAGAGCAACAAGCTCAAACACGAAGCACAGCTATCTGAAGCTTACTCCGAGCAAAACTAACACTGGTGAGTGAAAGAGTGTCCAAACCTCTACTACAGGAGACATTTGAACAGCTGGTACTTCTGAACATCAAATGGGGATGAAGTCTCCGGAGAGACAAATCAATGCCAGCAGTGCCTCACGCTATTTCTCAGTTGACTACAGCATACAAGTACAGATAGGCATGAAGTCTTCGCACTTCAAGAAACTTTAGTTAGCCCTAAGTGCTGCAGCATACCTGAGCAGGTGGCTGCAAGTACTTCAGCCTCATCCCATTTTCATTATGAAGCAGTAACTACGTTTTTCTGACACAATACAAAATATCAATGGCAAATATCACACACAGGAAATTTTCTAACTCTTGAAACCATCTCAATGTTCAAGTCAACTATTTTTTCTCCTCCTTTAATTGTTATATGAAGTAATATTTAACATGATGTTCTGCACATACAAAATTATCATAGAATCATTTATGTTGGAAAAGACCCTTAAGATCATGAAGTCCAACCATAAACCTAACACTGCCAAGTGCACCACTAAACCATGTCCCTGAGTGTCACATCTACATGTCTTTTAAATACCTCCAGGGATGGTGACTCAACCACTTCCCTGGGCAGACTGTTCCAGTGCTTGACAACCCTTTCAGTGAAGAAATTTTTCCTCATACCCCATCTAAACCTTCCCTGGCGCAACTCGAGGCTGTTTCCTCTGATCCTATTGCTTGTTTCTTGGGAAAAGAGACTGACACCCACCTCGCTACAACCTCCTTTCAGGTAGTTGTAGAGAGCGATAAGGTCTCCCCCGAGCCTCCTTTTCTCCAGACTGAACAACCCCAGTTGTCTCAACCGCTCCTCATCAGACTTGCTCTCTAGACCCTTCACCAGTTTTTTCTTCTCTGGACATGCTGCAGCACCTCAATGTCTTTCTTGTCCTGAGGGGCCCGAAACTGAACACAGTATTTGAGGTGCAGCCTCAGGAGTGCTGAAGAGAGGGGGACAATCACCTCCCTGCTCCTACTGGCCACACTATTTCTCATGCAGGCCAGGATGCTATCAGCCTTCTTGGCCACCTGGGCACACTGCTGGCTCATATTCTGCTGGCTGTCGACCAGCACCCCCAGGTCCTTTTCCGCCGGGCAGCTTTCCAGCCACTATTCCCCAAGCCTGTAGCGCTGCATGGGGTTGCTGTGACCCAAGTGCAGGACCCGGCACTTGGCCTTGTTGAACTTCATACAATTGGCCTCAGCCCATCGATCCAGCCTGTCCAGAAATTATGTCACTATCAAGACAGGTTAAATGAGATGTTACTCCAGTTTTATAAAGTCTCAAGCATATTGACAGGCATAATGAAAAATATTAGTGAATCAACACAATTTCCTAATGAGAAATCACTAAAGATCAAAGCATTAATACTACCTAGAACAACAAATCCTCTGAAGTCAAGTATTTTTGTGAGTATGTCTAAAAGATTATTATTTTTTTTAAATCCACAGAGCAAAAGCTGGATAAAGTTTTCAAGTCTGGTACTATAAATATTTTAAGATGCACAGACCACTTAAGACTTACCAGAGCTTCTTTGATAAAAATGTTTCTACTGAAACTAGGCAGATTCACCCCAGAATGACCCAACAAATAAAATTAGAAAAAACATACTGCAGCAAAATAGCTCAAAAATGCCTCCTCACCTGAGAGCACGGTCTGTGATCTGGTAACATCCAGAAAGACTGAGAAACTGAAGAACTCGTGCAGTCTCTTCATCTGTTTTTTCACTCCCAGAGTATACAGAGTCTTTTTTCTCTGACTGCTTAGTCCTTGTTGAGTTTTTACACAGTGCAGAGGACTCTGGAAGTGCTCGAATAGTTCTTAGTGCTGTCCCAGCACAACAAAATGAGTGACCGCAGTAAATCAAGTCAGTAGAAGCACAGTGCTGCTGCCACCCTCTAGTCCTTAATCCATAAATTTCTCTACTGTAGCATGATGCAGAACAATTAATATGGGATGTTGGTTCTGTAAGACAAAATCCTTCAACGTTTCTGTGTCTCCACTCTGCAGCATCTTCAATGTCAGCTAAATCATCTGCATCTAGCATCCACACATAAGCAGAATTGAAGTTTTCTGAGCTGTCAGGTTTAGTCCAATGCTGCTCACCATCTCCTCCCTCAATGAGGTTTTCATTGTTGATCTCATGCAAACAATTATACTTCTTGTTGGACTGCAGAGTAATCTCTCTGTTTTTCCACAAAGTCTTAGCATTCCTGTTTCTGCAGCTTTTCAGAATACCTCTGGTATGGTGAGTTGATATGATACCCAGTGCTCTGGAAATCCTCTCTATAGCCACATCTGTGATTTTTTCACATCCAGACAGATCAAGGTGACGTAGATTTTGACAATAACCAACTGAAGACCAACTGAAATCAGAGAAAAAAGTGGGTTGGTTGGTTGGTTTTGGGTTGGTTTATTTTGGTTGGGTTTTTGGATTATTTTTTTTTTAGTTTTTGTTCAGAAACAGATGTTAAGGCTAAATATACAAAAGAACATTTCACAAGCAAAATACTTAATTCACAGAATATTTAAAGAAAAGACCCCAGACAAGTTAGATCTGATACTCCAAGTGCTGTATATATGCCTAGAAATATTATGTCTAAAGAAATGTGAAATGAATCATGACTCAGTAACAACCTATATTTTTTCCATATGCTAAGACTTAAAAGAAGTCCAAATTTGCCACTGAGACTTCAAAGTCCAAATTGGCCATACATTGAACAAATTTTTAAAAAGTAGATCAGACTGCAAACACCAAATATGTACATGGCCAATTTCAAAAAGCAGCTTCTGTTGTGTATAAGGCAGTTACCAAGAGCCATCTAAGTTACTATACATCACAGTTAACTTCTCAGAAGGCTGAAAAAACTTACTGAACTCACAAATCCACCCCACCCCCAAAATTTACACCTGAGATGCAATATTCAGTTCAAAGTATTTTAATAGTTGTAATTTCTAGTATCTGAGTTTCTCAAGCTTGGCTGTTTACGCATACTGAAATTTCAGTGTACTTAGATCATATATCCTCCTGTAATTTCCCATTTCTTTCAGAGAGAATAGCTGGATTCCTGAAACACATTCTGTGTGGAGTATTAATTACTCCATAAAAGTGATTAGGATTGGAGATGGTAATAAAATCAGACTTTTTCATATTAACAAAACCTCACCCCTTCAGCCTTATCTTTTTCAAAAGAAATAGAAATTTGATCTACAGTAATATTATTACATTATTTGCTATAAAAGTATATAGCTGATTTAAGTGACCTTTACCTATCCATAGTTAATGTTAACTATCATTTACTTTCCGTAAGTGATTGCTTATATTTACAGCAAGCCCAACTAATTTTCTGAGTTACAAATTGGGTTGTTGGAAATCTAGATATATGAGGAGGGGCAAATAATGTAAGTTTTACTAGAGATTGACAAAAGCTCACAAAGATTGATTTCTGAGCCACAGAAATTCCACAAAGCTTTTATTTCAACTAAAACTTCACCAAGCTGCAGAGGGTTGTTACCAGCATCCGTGCTGGTAAAATTTTCTATGTAGTTAACACCTAAAACTTGAGAGCACTATATGATGAAAGTGTTGAACACTGACACAGCCACTGAATTTCAGTATCACAATAAGACCTATTGGTGCAGGCTCTGCATCCATGCACCATCCCACTACATCAATGAAACTTCTGCAGGCTTCAGTAAAACTCAGGAATCCACAATTACTACACTTAAGCCTTACAGCTTTGCCTACCATTTGATCAGTGTCTTAATTAGCAGTATTACAAACCCTACCAGCTATATCAGACCAAGAGAACTACCATAACTGAGTGACTCTGTAAAAATCCATGGACAATTTCAAGTTGTTAATACTAGAACAACACACAATTATTGTTATGGATAGCCACACATTGATAGGTAATACATATCCAATAGTGAAGACAGCATTTTAAATGGCCATTACAAAGTTACATGCTTCACTTGCTATTTCATTGATTTGTTACTCTGGTTTAGTTCTTAGTTATGTGTGAATCCTAAATGGGATTTCTCTATTTCTCTCTTTATTGGCAATGGACTAAGACATGTTTGAATGCTTTCCCCCCTCAAAAAGCTGGATTTTTTTTTTTTTTTTTTTAAAGGAAACAACAATTATCTAACCTTTCAAATGCAGAGTCTGAAATATCAGTTTGAGTGAGATCCAAATATTCCAAGTTGGGGCAAAGCTCCAAGATCTGTCTAACCTGGAAAAGGAAAGGAAAATAATCAGTGAAGACACAAGCAAATGAGGTTGCACACAGTGTCAAGAGACAATGTAAGAATTAACATTCTCTTGAATTGCAATTCATTTTCACTACCCCAGTGTTTTAAACTTGGGCACATCAGTTATTAATTAGAGGTTGCATAGCCACAATTATTAAATGCCAGTTTCAAATTACATACCATTTTGTTAGACACTGCAGAACTGTAGGCCAATACTAATGTCTTCACTGAGGAGCCTACATGCTGGAGGACATTATGAATTAAGCCATGAAGTAAACGTTTTTCCATTTGTGCTATATTAATGGCAAGTGAATATTCAGCTGCTTCTTCTGCAAAATAAAATGGAAGAGAAAGACTTAAAATGTGCTTTCAGTCATTTGGAATTCACATTGCCATCTTACTTCAAACAAGTTCTTGGGAAACTAAAGCAAGCTTAACAAGGCATAAGTTTCAGAAAGTACCCTACATCAAACTTCTGCCGAATTCTAGCTCAACGTACTACTTAAGCCTCATCTTTAAAAAATATCTGCTTGTCTTTCTGACAGTCCTGAAGAGTTTAACTCCAACAGCAAGTAAAAACAGTAAAAGTCTTAATAGAAAATTATCATTAAAGGACTTTGGATAAATATTTACTACAGATTATGTACTACTGCTCAGGGCTGTCTGGGACAGCTGTTTCCACCGACTTGCTTTATACATTGAAATACTATCTCACAGGGCATTTCATATCCTGTGATATAACAGCTTAAGACAAATTTAAAACTAAGCCTAGAATGCATTAGGATGCAAGAGGATTCATCCAAACTTCCTGAAGAGATGAAGCCCAGCTTTTACCTCCTTCCTAACTCCAGACACATGCCCATAACTCTTCACCTGCACTCATGTTTGCTCTCCCCTAGATGAATTAATTCAGCTCATTAAAACCAGCTGCCTGCTTCTCCCCTCCCTCATCCCCTATTCATCTTTTTTTTCCCCTCCACCCAGCTACTTCATTTAGTAAGCATTTAATCTAGACAGAATGTAAGTATTACTAGATTTGTCATTATTTTAATGTACTGGTATCAACTATGATAAAAAGCTGTATTTTAAACTGATTTTACACCATTATTTCTTATAGCTATATCATCACCAAAAAAATCAGCAAAATCAGAATTTACCTACCAGATTCATCTATGTCAGCATCTTCATCCCATTCCTGGAAAGCACGACTTTCATCTTTTCTGTTTTTCACCCATTCCTCATCAGGTTCTGTCTCAAGATCTGCTGCAGGACCACTATACCAATCACCTACTCGCCCCCCGCATCCCCCAAAAAAGAAGGAGAAAAAAAAAAGACAGACAAACTTCTCATCACTGCAGAAAAAAGCAATGATAAATTCTCAGTATACTGTGACCTGACCTAAAGATATAAATGAATTTTGCATTCATCTCAACTAAGGTTGGACTGAACCTTGAGATAATTCTTGTTTGATCTATATTTTAAAGCTTCAAAAGATCCCTAGAACAGTTTCAGTATCATTACAGAACTCACAGCCTATTATGCTATTCTGATACATGCCTGTTGTCTTTATTTTCTTAGCAGGGACCAATATGATTGCAAAAATAACAGAAACCATTATGGAGTATTTGGACTGTGTAGGTGCTGAAGTTCTTTCTGGCAGATAAATTAACCATCAACTTTTAGTATAACACATTTCCATTTTCCTCTGGAATCTCACAAATGTACAGCCAACCAGAACATATTTCATTAGCCTGTTTTTAGTCACTGCACATGACAACTCCAGGATCAAGAAATCCAAGTTCCAGAAGTAGCCTACTTACAACAGCCATAGAATACTTGATTATAACATACATATGACTCAAATCAGTAAACAATCATTTTTTAGAACATCTGGATAAACACGAATATCAGCAACAGCTGCACTTTTTTAGCTAGTAGGGCATCCCCTCTCCCCAAGGGTTATTGCACAGGCATTAATTTACTTCTAGTTTGGTTATATTGTAGTGTTGGGCTCCATATAAGCAGGTCTGCTGCCTCCCTGAGTGTAGACACGCTTAAACCAGAAACACCTTATTGTAATATCTCACTAGTGGGGGATCCTACTATCCCCAAAGCAAGAGCAAGCCCTGTTGAGTAGTATCTAAAGGAACAAGGTTTCTTATATAAGCAACACAGTGACAATGACATCCTGATCAACCAACTATGAAGCAAAAGGTTTCAGTAACATTTCTCACCTTCTTTAACCCATCTTTATATTACATAAAAAGCCTCAGAAGCCCTCTCTGTATTAGAAGAAAAAAAAGTTAAAAATTTAACTAAGTCTGTAGTTTTATGTTCTTTTTTTTCCCCCTCTGGCAGTAAATCCCATTTGAGAAGCTTTCACCCAGTTCAGAGCACTTCTGCACAAACAACTGTAGTAGTACGGACAGTACGTCCTGAGACTAGCTTCCTGTTGTGCCAAAACCAGGTTTAGGACTAAGTCCTTTTAAGCAGTTGCCAATTATCTTTTTTGCGTAGCACTGAATTATCAAGACAACTAGATGAAAATAAAAATTTAACAATTTGAACTCTGAAACCTCTCCTCTCCACCCAGTCATCTGCAGCTCAGGGGCCAAACTAATTTTCAGTAAGATTTATCCAACCAAAAAAACCTAATTCAGACCCAAAAGCCATTTAACTCCTCTCTGCCTTGCACAGATATTAGAAGCCATAAAGGTCCAGCCAGAAAGAAGTTTTTAGCTTCTATGCATCTCAAAATTTAAATTATATATTGTTAGTGTTCTCTCTTAAAATCTTAAAGGCACATAAAATACAGCTTATTAAACAGCATAGACTGTCTCCTTTTTACTCAGCGACACTGACATGGCAGCAATTGTGAAGCCTGCAATGCCATATTCCAGTGATTGTTTAATACTCACATAAATATGGACAAATACAAACAAATATTTAAAGCTGCAAACATACTCTTATGACTTGTAACTGGCCTCACTGGAATACAGACTATTTTGTCTATTTGAACAGGTACTTTTGCAAAGGTTACACTTCTCAATAGGAAATTTTAATTAACAGGAGAGTTTGAGGAACAGAAGTTATTAAAAAACCAGTTAGTCCTTACTGCAGAAGAAGTTATTGAAGTAATAAATCTAAAGAATCAACACTAACATTCATACAGTTTGAATATAAAAAGTAAGAACAGATTGTGAGGAAATGTTAGAACTCCATTTGTTTTAAACTTCCATCCTGCTGTTATGTATTCTATTTCTACCTCATAACCTAATGAAATAAAAATTTTACTGATACAGGTGTAACAGCAGCATTTATAATTCAAATCCCCTTAGATTCTTAAATCATTATTAAGATGTTGTATTAGTGAATATACTTGTTAGCATTCATACAAGCAAACAAACCTCAGTAAAATCAACAGTTCGTATACAAGACGTACTCATCACTTACAACCAAGACAACTTTTACTTTCTTAATTCTACAAGATGGAAGTCTGTTTGGGGGATTTTTAACATTTAACCAAGTTTCAGGGCACCATCCTTGCCAGAAGGGTACACCCTTCCAACATGCTCAGCTGTTCGGTTCATTGTACATGACAGTCTATACTAAAACATTCTCTTTTATAGACTTAGAAATTCTGATAATTGACATGCTTTCAAAGGAAGAATTAAATTTAACTTACCTCTGGCCCAGCGAACAGGGTAGAGATGTTTCCAGAGAGATCCAGTTTTAGCCAACTGTGACCATTCAGTGCTTACTTGACTACACTGACATAACTCTTGGGGGTTAAGGTAACTGAAAATGGTCAGCATGACTTCAGGAGGAAGATTAGTAATATTTGTGGTGTGCCCTGTTACTTCGGTTTCTGAAATATAGAAAGTGTGTGTTAAGTGAAGCACAGCCTCAGAGCTTTAAATAATAGTAGTGGAATTCACATTTTTACTAGGGCAATGAAAAAATAGTGTCTGAAAAAATTTTAAACAATTGTTTGACAAAAAGAGTTGAAAAAAAGAACCGGTACTGCTTTGGCTTTAAGAAGCTTTCACTGTAATAACACCTTAAACAACAAAAACCCCCAAACAAAACAAACAAAAACCCCCAAACAAAACAAACAAAAACCAGCTCAGTTTTGTTTACCATTTTCTCAACTGGTTAGTTTTTTCCAACCCTGACTCCCCAAAGGTCCAAAAAAGCCCTGGACAAAAGTAAACTGCTGCTACTCAACCACAGCAAGATGAAAGCTGCTGTAGATGAAATGCTTTAAAAAAATACCTTCTGTCATTGATGATATATATACCTGCTTTGTCACATTCCCAAGGAAACAGTACTAGCACACATAATTTACCAGCTGGGACCACTCTCACTGAAAGCACTCAACCTCTTGACTGGGACACAGCAAGAAATCCATGCTTAACTCTTTGCAGCTGTCTCATTTTATTTCTAGCTTTAACTGCTAGCATAGACAATGAATTTTAACTTCTGAATGGTGACAAGCCATTCAGGTTGTAAAGTAATAGTAAATATTATGTTAGAGACTAAAATTTGACCACTGTAATTAATACTTCAATGGACAGCAGCAGAAAACATGTCCAATAGCTCTCCCTTATCACCATAGTACAGAGAGCTGCAAACTATATAAAATAACAAATTCAGTGCTTTGATTAGTGGGCTTTTTGCTGTTTTAAGAGAATTTTTAATGCTTTAAGGACAATTTACTTGAGAAAAAAAATATTTCTAAAATAGTTTTCAGGAGTACTTAGAAATAGCGGGTTTCACAAATTAGTAGGTATTTACTTTTAAAATTAGGACACAAAGTATATAAGACCTAACAGCGAGACAAGCATCAGGTTTCTTTTTGCAAATAAGCTTCAAGAGTGAGCATAATGTGAACTTTACCCTGTGATAATCTATTGCTACTTCAAAAAAAATATAACTGAACACAGTTTCACTTGATGAATCAATATATTTATTCATACACCTGGCAAGTCACTTCAGGTAAACTACAGAGAATGTCACACTAAAATGCAGTTAAAACTGCACAGGACTGCAAGCTGTGTTATTTTCTTCCTTTTTTAAAAAATGGATGCAGGACACATACTTCCCACTCCCTAAAGTCTAGAACACAACCATTGCAGAACTACTACTGTCCCAAAACTGCTATTCCAGCTAGACTTAACAGCATATAATGCCATAAGGCTAATTCTGTCACATTCATCTGTTCAGACTCAGTATTTCACACCATGGACCATGATCTTTTCTGAAGGCTTCACCTGGAGGGCAAAAAAATGACCAGTTCAGTAGTTCAGAGAAGTCAAGTTTCATCAAAAAAATCTGACTACAGAGTAGTTTTTCAAGTTTTTCTAATGAGAGCACCACATCTTACCAACACCACAAAGTCAGTTCATGAAGGCTTGCTCTACTTAGTTTCACACCCCAGTATTACACTTCTGGTACATTAATTCCCCTTCTTTGGGGCATCAACTCTTCTTTGTTAGTTAAGAGTGAAAACTGTAAACACGGGCAACTTAGGCTGATTCAACAGTCATAAAACAAGCCTGAAGTGAACTTTAGTAGTTATCCATTTATTCAAAGTTTCATCAGGAAAGGTAGTTACAGATGAACGCAAATTAAATAACTACTTTCAGAATGCACGTTTCATCTGACCTCCTCACACGCTGCATGGATTCACTCCCTTGCATTACTCCATACACACAGTTTCTTCCTTTCCGATTCCTGAGAGGCCCAGGGAAGTTAGGTAGCGCAGCTGGGGGAAGGCGAGTAGCTTTTAATTTGAAATATTGTCAGTTGGCTAACTATTCTGTGTTATTAAACCATCAACAGAAAAGCTTAAAAGCGGTCCTGAAAACCAAGAATTAAATGCAGGGTCTGCAAATAGAAAATGTAATTTCAATGGGAAGTATGAAATTAGAAGTAAATTATAATTTCTGCCTATTTTATCAAATATTACCATAGGAGAGAAAGGAGAGGAAGAAGGTTGAGAACAGGCAAACAGTGAAGTACTATCTACATTACAACCTGCCAAGAAGCCTGTATCAAACAGTAAAGTTCCTGAAGCTTCAAAACTGAAGAAATTCCCATTTTATAAAAACTATTTTATCTGCCTGCACATACCTCAAGTTATGTCATTGGTGTGGCTTTTTTAGATAAAAATTACAGGTTGAAAATTACTTTAACTTTAATTAGATGCTTCACCTTGATCTGCCTTCTCGTCCACAGAATACTTAAAGACCTTCTGAAGCTCTTCTGCTTGATTCCACTTACTAAGACCTCTGAATTCTGCAGCCTCCTTCTGTGAGCAGTGCTGTGCAATTACTTTCTTCTTAATATCTTTCAATTCTTCATAAGTAAAGTATTCCATCAACATTGGCTGAAAAACCTAAAGCAAAAGAAAAAGGAAAAAAGAAGTCCGGTGCTGACAGATAGTCAATAATGCTACACAGACCTACCAACATAGAATTTCCTGTTTCAAATTCTCTCCAAGTAAAACATGTCATACATTAAGTGAACCTAAGGACAGGACCATGGAAGTTTTGAGTTCTGATCCTCTGCTTGCCAATGGAACACTGCACAATCTCAGGCAAGCCGATTAACTCTTTTCCCCAACAGAAAAGGGAAGTGATTAAAGTTGCTTAAACTATATAACTTGTTGAGGTACTCACACAGAAGGCAAAGTGGCAAGAAGAAAAACATAAGAAAAGATTTCTCTTGGACAGACTACAGAAGATTTACTCTCTCCAGAAGATGCTTCCCAGTTTTTGGATACCCATAAATCATCAGACTGGCAGTACTAGTCTACATTTCAAATATAGGTCAGAGGCTGTTTGGGAGTGTCAGTTTGAGTCATCAAGCACTGGTTTACAGGACTTTTCTTCCTTTAAGTTTTGCTAGACGTCCCCTTAAATAACTACCTGCTGCAAACAAATCCCAGCCCTAGTGGACTTCTGTTATCAATTTTTCAAATCACCAGAACTTCATCATAAATTTTCAATATATTCACTATTTCAGAGTGTGTCACTTTGCAGTCAGAGAACAGAACAATGACACCACAGTCCTGAATGCAAATTGGCATAGTAATAAAAACAGAGAATTGTGAAAAAAACTGAAACTCTAAGCCCTTTGTCTCTGTTCAGTCATTCCAAACCCCAAGAAAGATCAGCATAATATTTGAGGGAAATTTTTACCTACCTCCTCTTCCTCTTTCATATGAGGAAGGAAATCCCTGGTAAAGGCTTCCAATCTCTCCTTCAGCTGTTTCGCATAGTTTAGCTGTTCATATTCATTCTAAGAAGAAAACAAAAAATTAACTATTACCTAATCTTGTCCATTCTTTCAAGGATTGAACTGTTAAATAAACCAGTGTTTCAAAGTAAAGCCCATTATGTCTTCCCCATGCATGCAGCATGTTTGCTCTATTTCATGGTAAGAAAGTGTTCACTTACAAAGTTTCATGACACGCTGACAGTCTGTACTGGCCTGTTACTAGGCAGAACAAAGTATTCCCTTCCTGTCTAATTCCAATTTATTTTGTTATCATCGATATGAATTAACTTGTCTAATCACATTTTTACTTTGGAGCAAAGACTGAAGTCTGCCAATCTACAGTCTCACCCAAGTTCAAAGTAGTAAGAGTACTCTAAGTATATGCATGCTTTGCATAAGAATTACTCTAGGATACAGCAGTTCCACTTCATCTTTTAACTGCATACCTTTTACGTTAGTTATTCTACAATTATAGCTTCCCAATTATAATCAGAATTTATAGTCAGACATGCTCTATAGATACTTATTTGAGAGTTCGTTCAATTTCCAAAGTAGAGATGTAACTGACTTCTAAATGTTAAAGCTAGACTAACCTCACCTATCAATTTGTTAGCTTGTTCTCTGTGCCAGTAATAAGAAGCTGGTTCTGAAGTCTGCCCAGTAATTGCAACATACTGAAGTTCCTCCTAGCTCTTACAGTAAATGTTGTAAGTTTTTCTTTTCGAACTTCTATAACATCAAGAAACCCTGACTATTACAGAAAAAAGCTTAAGCCATCAGTTTAAATTAAACTAACCACACTCTCAAAAAGTTAAACAGTTAACGTATCTAAAGAGAGCTAGAGAAATCAGTTTTTCCACACTTAGAAGTGAAGTAACAGAATAACACTAGCATCCTATCAGAGAAGGTATAACACAAAGCCAAGTGTTAAATTTCCCCTCTCCTTCACTTTCCTTCATTTTCCAATTCATTAATGGAAACAAGACAAATTTTAAAGTTTGATATGCACAGGGAAAAAACACCTATTTGCAGGATTCCCAGGTTAAATATAGATAATAATGATAGTAAAATGGAATCAATCAACTGCATATTTAGTATTTTTCTTACTGAAAATATGGACCATGTGTACTAGAAATGTATTATGGGACGTCAAATTATTACTGGAGACTATAGTTCTTAGAGTGCAGGAAGGGGAGTTGGGTACTCCAGAGGAAAGACAGAATTCAAGTTAAATTCTTCTCCAGTAGAACTGTACGACTTTTAAGTTGTGAAAAAGCCAGCTGGAGAAATAACATTTAGAGTTTCTTGAGGACTGGAACATTAACAGCATTACTGAGCAACAGATTACTGGAAGGAGTACATGACTCACTAACAGAATAAAACAATGCTGCTTTGTGTTTTTTTTAAAGTCTGGTAATCATCTCCATTTGTGACAATAATACAATGCTATGTGCCACAAAAAAAGATACTCAGGGTTTCCTAACAAATTAATAAAACACATTATTTCTATACTCAGAAACTGTTTTGATCACTTAGCAGAGAAGTCTCTGTATCTGAGACTTCCACGCTGTCTCTCCAAAACACCTCCAAATATGCAGTGATGGACTTCTGTCACAAAATACACCTCTGAAAAGAATTTTTACCAGAAATTCAGTAACTGTGATGAACCGCAGAAGAATTTGTGTTTCAGACTGGAAAGTTTTCACTACTGTATCAAGAAACCACAAATGTTTCTTCTTCCTCCTTAGTTTATTTGTAGAGAGTATTAAGAAAAGTTGAGGTAAACTAATACGTAATCACAGCACGTTTTCATTAGGACACAAGTCCTTCTTATAGTCTACTTACCTTTACATTCTTTAACCCTTTCTCAAAGAGGCTAAGCATCTCGGAGAGTTTGTTGTCCGAGTGCACATTATACACTGTCCGGCTACGTTGCTGAAGTAAACCAATGATACACTCATTTTCAATCTGCTCATGCATTTTAAATTCCTTGAATGTGGCATAAAGAGACTGCAGAAGAGCCCGAAAATCATTGTTGTTGGAAAAGTTGGTCTTGGAAAGCTAGAAGAAAGAAAATCTCATTAAAAAAATAAATCAATGAAAATCATGTCGCAGTCAAGTTAAATCCTTAGAACAGGTATTAGCGCCAGTTATTCACTGCCCCTATTACTTACAACATAAAAGCTGAAAAACTTCAGTTTTATACAGAAAACTGGCAAAAATAAAAATTGAATTTGCACTTAGAGCAACTCGCTTCAAAGACATCAAAAATTAGAGTAATGAATGCTTTTAATTTCAATCTTCAAGTGCAATAGATAAAAATCAGAGATTCAAGTGCATAAATAGGAATACACAAACTAGTCTTCTATTTGAATAGTAACTTTCTCATAATTTATCTAATTGGTGCATTAAAATATAATTTAATACAACTTCTTCCAGAAATGGGCAGAATATTGGCATTTGAATACTACAGACTAACATTTACATAATATCCCTATTAATATGACTTTTGAAATTATTTACCAAATTCATAATTATTTTACCTTCACAACTGACTTGCCATTTGATTTTTATTTGCTAACAGGAACTGACACAAATTCTATATAAAACCCTCAAACTTGTTTTAAAACTTTCAAAAACTCATTATTCATGGTCATTTCATGTATACGTTTCCTCTTACAGTTCATTAAAACAGTAAGCCATTCATACTCGAATTCTGTTAACTCCCCAATATAAGTTAGCAGAGCAGTTTTACTACAATGTTGTGTTTTGTAAATGAAGGGATTTAACTGCACAATTCTCTCATTTCCAGTGGCAACTATGTAACTGCATTTTCCATCACAGGCTCTGAAGAAAAAATGAAGCTATAAATTTTAGAAATATTGCAAAGAACTAATGATATTAAACTACAGAAGTTCAACAAAGCATAATATATACAATAATGTGCATTATAAAGAAAAGCATGTTACATTTAATCACACAAATTCTGAATGCAAATGTCTCATTCCACATGAATGAACTTCGCTTAAGAAAACCAGAAAGTAGTATGATAACGTTTTAAAGGAAGATCATCCTTGAGAGAACAATGCAGTTATAGCATTAGCTTTAAGAAGCCAGTAAAATCAAAGTTGTATTTAAGCAACGTAAACCAATCTTGTGAAACACTAAGATAAACAAATGGAGAACAACTTCCTGGTAGAAATCAATGCAATCTCCCCAGGACAGCAGATAACTGAAAGGCTTAGCCAGTTTCCCAGACCTACATTTTAGTTCATACTAAGAAGCCATTATCAAATGGCCCTAAGCCTACCTTTAGGGACATACTATCCACAAGGAACGCCGAGTCCTACCAAGTGAATACAAACTATACTAGCTGTTGGAAAAGGCTTCCAATGGACTGAGAACCAACAAATCAAGACAGCACAAAGTTCCAGGTAACACAGTAGTGCCATTTTTACATGTGTACAAACAGCTACCACTAGCAACAATACATTTTAAAACTGCATCTTCCTTCAGTGAATGTAGGAAAACAGTATTTTTTCCATTTTTATGTTTTATTCCACATGCAGCTTCAAGAATCATAGCCTAAAGCAGTATACAATAGCAAGCACTCTAAAAATAAAAATATTTTAATTTAATTCACAATTAAGGCACTGGAATATTCAAAAGTGGTTTAGTTTACAAAGATTCTGCAATCTAATGGGTTTACTAGAAATGGGAATCTGAGACATGTATGTTCATACATAAGTCTTAGATACATCAAAAACAATCATAAACTGAGATACCTAAAACTTCTATAATTTAAAAAAAACCCAAATGTACTTATTCATTCCGACATTGCATTGCCACTTCCTGGCAACCACTAGCAACGCAACTGAAACACACTGGACATCTGCCAAGTACTTATGAAACTCCAAGTCAGCTGTGCATACTGTACATTACATACTGTACATATAAGCAAAACGACTGTCATTATGGAAAAACAAATTTACTTAGCCTCAGCAGAGACAGAAAACAGGGCAAAGTTGGGGGGGGGGGTAGGGAGCAGGAGGAGTCCAGTATCTTTTAGACCAACTACTGATGGGTCAGAAAAAACCCCTATGTTTGTGATGCACTGTATTAGGAACTGAGGCATGAATTGTTACATACATATCACAAACGGGAAACAAACATCACTCCAAAGACCATTTCTATCCTACACTAAGCTCAGAGAATGCAATATACCAAGCAGTAGTACTAGATGAAACAAAAGGCTGGAATTTCCACACTGAAAAGCAAAGTCTGAACAAGCACAGGAGATGGGTGCAGAAATACCTCTTCAGGTGAGCCTCCTCACCTCCAGACATTTGTGATTCAGATCTCAATAATGGTGAAGTTTGGTTTCTAATGTAGCATTTCTCTTGATCAATGATGTCTCAAAATTGTTCATTCTACCCATAAGGATCCACAATACCTGAAGTCAGTCCCCAAAGACCCTTTTCCCCTAAAATCCCGTTTGCTCCCAAATGCTTCGCATTTTGATTCACATAAAAATGTAAACAAGACTGCTAAAGTGTGTAACAGGAAGCTTAGACAAAACTACTGTATTTTGCTGTTGGGTAAAAAAAAAAAAAAAAAAAAAAAAAAAAAAAATCACAAAATCGGTTCCAATACAAAATAGCATCTTCTCATCCTCCTGACTCAAAGTCTTTTCAGGATTCAAAAACTTATGTTGAACCCACCTATTATCATCCACAAATCTGGAATAAATAACAAATCCATTTGTGAATGCAGTTGAAGAAGTCCTGTTATAAATGTTACAGAAGTCACTGCACATGAAACGCTTGCATATTCACCTCTGCTACTGAGGCTTCCAGCAGATATCCAAGAGATTAGGAACTATGGAGAGGATATTAAAGTTTAATGACTGTACTTGAATCGGCAATCGGTACATTAAAAAGGTCAGCCGAAGCTGAGGAAAACTGGCTTTTTAAAGGACAGGTAGCCTAGCAACAAAGTCACTCGGTCAGATCTGTAATTTCATTACCAGGACTGATGGAAGTCTTATGATGGGGGACCAATACTATTAACAGACAGCAGCTGCTCCACTCCGAGGTCCACTTTTCACCAGCTCTTCGCAAGGAAAACTAGTGCAGGAGGTTAGCAGCGCAAAAAGAAAACCAGCACCCCCCAAACTCGGATGGAAAATCCCAAGAGAATGGCAAGGGGGAGGAAATGCTTTGTACTGAGGATATTTGCTGACTGGTCAAATATATAAAGCACATGCGATCCCTGAGCAGCCTTGCAACACACCACACTAAACCGATTATCACAGCAACAGGTGTTACAGATACTGGGGAGCTTTGTGGACTTTTGAAGATATTACATTTAAACAATTCCAAGTTACAGCACAACTGGTTTTGTGTTTGGAATGCACACTCTAACTGAAAAGGGGTACGACAAGAGAAACAGTCCTGGTGCTTCCTGAAGCCTCATGAAATTTAAGTTACACATAATCCAAACAGCCTGAGCAACAGGCCGAACAACAGTCAGTCAATCACACTGCAAATTCTGTCTGAAAAAACTTCAGACACCTTTAGCTGATGCAGGCATACTCTAGAAGTAGCCAGGAGCTATTAAACTCAGTATTAACTTTATTAAACCCTTAAACAAACAAGAAAAAAAACCCCACACCAAAACAAAACACCAAACACCACATCAAATTAATCTCATGTAAACAAAAGAAGGCACATCAATAATCCAAGGGCCACTGTGGTGCCAGCAGTGAAGTAAAGCACAAGGTCACAAAATATACCCAATCTATTCCAAGTAACAGCATGACAAGGAGATAGTCATGCTAACCTAAGACTGCTGTTCTCTAAAGTTCTTCATACTTAAGTGGTCAATTTAGGTGGTTTGCAGTATACAATATTTCAGTCTTGATTTTAAGTAAAAATTGGAAACACCAATTTTTCATCACAGTTATGTAAACTAGTATCAGGATTATTAAGAAGAAGAGGTTGAATCAATGGCAGAAAACTTCAAAGATCAGATAATTCCACCCTCCCATTGCAGGAAAAAATAGTAACTCTGAATTCAGAATTCACTTCATGGACATCTTTTTTTTTTTTAAACCTTAAATTACACAACTAAAGAATAGCTACGCTTGAAAAGTCTTTGTAGCTCAGACAATCACATACCAGTTTTAGGTGAGTCACCAACTCCACTGGACTACAACAGAGCCATTAACATGGTCAAGATGAACATACGGACACATAGCAAAAACATCCTTACTCTAAGCTATTATTTCATTTCTGTGCTTCAAGAACAAGATGACAATACCAGCAAGATTAACAGTAATTGCTATTTATACAGTGCTGCATGTTCATTACATTCAACTGAATGTAAATCTACATTCAACTCTTGCATCTCCTTTGCAGCTTTCGTGCTTTCATGAAAAAAAATGAAACTTTGTCAGATGAAGACACAGATATTTATTAACAACATTTTGGATAGAAGTAAGAAAGCTCAAGACTGCTAATTAAATCACCAAACAAAACACAGTATTACTTGGTTTCTGGAAGTGTTTTACATATATGCCAATATGGAAAAATGTCTTCCTAGAAGAAAAACACCGTTAATATTCTGAAAATGTTAGTTTACAGTGAGTAAACTGAAACAGTTATTTCAAAAATACATTTAGTGAGTGGAAAGTTGTGCTGCTTCCTTAAAAATATCCAAGCATACTATTAACTGACAAGAAAAAAGTAGCAAACAGGAATAAAGAAAAAGAAGCACGCTGCTCTTATCAGACTACCACAGCAATAAGCAAAGTCTATGCCGTGTGCTAACTTTCCCAGTTACAGCTATCTCTCTACTCCCAACTACAAGCTGGAAAACAACAAAAATTAGGAAAGAGAACAGGAAAGAGAAAATTGATTTTTCCACTCTGCCCAAATATTTCATGAATTTAGAATGAAATAATTACTCAAGGTTAAAGAAGTCAAAAGTGGATACAAATTCACAAACTGCTTTATTTCAAATGAGGGTTTCCCCATCAGCACCTCTAACTTTTAAACAA